TTTAATAAAATGGCAGCCTACACGCCACTCGTCAGCACTGACAGCAGTTTACAAAGAGGGATTATTGCACAAACCCTTTCTCAAATATATATTAAGTTTTCCGTAATCACATGAAAAAAATTTCTGCACATGATTATAACGATGTTCAGAAAATTGAGGATAGATTTACGAAGTTACATGATGTTTACTGGTAAGCGCCATTTTGTTGTTTACGTACGTGACTCGTTTTATGTAGACTTGTCCCGGCGTCAAACTTGCTCTGTTTGTGCTAAAGAACTGCTTGTGCTAGTACAAATACTGGGGCCGCGAACCCGTCTACGTTTCATGCAAGAACGCTACGATCTGATCGGCGATGTGCAGCGTAGTCACTTCAAGTCGACATGAGTGTTGCTACGCTGCTAATCGGCGATAAAGTAGTCGCCGATAGATAAATCGTAGGCCGACATAAGCGGGCCTTAACACTATGATTCACCACCATGACTCTGACTGATCAACTGACAAAGACATTCAAATTGTCTGAATTTTTTTATTCACTGCTGGCAGGAAAATTCTTTTTTGGCACACCACTGGACATAGCACTTTTCAAAGTCAAACATATCTTATTCTGGGCCGCTTATTCAGCTGGAGCTGGGGCTTATTCAGGTTATTTCTCAGCTGTTTTAACCAATTTATGTCTGCTAAAACCCCTCTACTGTTGTGGATGGTAGGGTCACAAACAGCTACTTTTTACAGTACCTGACGCACAATACGCACGCACGCGCACGCACGTGCGCGCGCAGTACATTATAGACAGTACTATACACACAGTATAGTTATTTACAGTAATACTAATAGTTTACAGAAGAGTTTTCACAGCACATGCATATAGGGCCTACTCTACTACTTTTGTAACTTCGGGATGCTATTGAACCAGAAAAATTAGCTGCTCATCAAAGCTGTCTATATTCCCCAGTTAGTACTTAGTACAGTTTTACTACGTTTACAGTACCTCACACACAGTACACACACAAACACACACCTACACGCACGCGCGCGCACACACACACACGTGCACGCACACGCGTAGTAAAAATCATTTGACTTTTGCCAGCGCCGTTGCCGTGCCGTGCCGTGTGTGGAGACAGGCCTTTTTTAAACCCCAGGGTTTCTTCTGAGGGAAAATTAGACAACGGTGGTAATGCCCAGTTTGGGGAAAAACGCACATGATGGATTCAAAGGCGTGCAGTAGGCACAACAGTACACGTCAGTTGAGCACTGTCGCTCTGCGGCACTTGTTAATGTGTGTTTTAGTGCAATCCTTGTTATCTCACACATATCTCTGTGATGAGCATGCCAAAAAAGTTGAATCACTGCTTAATAGCGCAATATAAACATGGAGTAAAGCTTTGAATATTGTAGTCGGTGGGTGTAAATCCACAATATTAAATATGTAAACCAAGTTCGAGGTTAGGCACTTCTGTGCACTCTACTATAATATATTCTGTCTCATCTATAGGCTGAGAAGATTGCTTCGCAGATGATTACAGAAGGACGAATGAATGGTTCCATTGATCAGCTAGATGGAATTGTTCACTTTGAGGCTCGGGAGACATTGCCTCTTTGGGACAGGCAGATAGAAAGCATTTGTCTTCAGGTATAATATAACAAATATTTCATTATGTAGTTACTAGAGTCAGTTCAGAGTAATGAAGAACAGCAGCATTGTTTACAACATTATCGTTATTTAAAACTCGGTAAAATGAGTTTTAATCTTCCTATATACCAACTTTTCTTATTAATAATCTGAAGTTTTAAAGAATATAATTTTAAAAATTAGAAGCAGCTCATGATGAAAGATTTTTGCTGTCTTCAAGTTAATTTTTAGCTTACCTTGACATCGTCAAGATGAGCTATTGCCATGGGTAGTCGTACGTCTGTCCGTCCTTCCGTCAACATTTGGCTACGGTCAACAATAACTCAGGAACCGTTTGACTCACATGTTTGAAATTGGGTATAGTTGTTACTGCTATGGGAGAGGTTTGAACGTCCTATTTTGGAGCACGCCAGTCGACGTACTTTCGAGCCACGGCAATTTTTTGGCCAAAATGGAAATTGCCATTAGTCAGTTCAGGTTCAACGGATTTTGCTCATTTTTGGTATGTGAATGAATAAGGGCTGGCCCCAAAACGTATTACAGGGGTTTTGATATTTAAAAAAATAAAATAATGCAAATTAGGTAGGTTTTGGCAATTATATAGCATATTATGTAGACACGCAGATAACAGTCTGTGGTGTCACACTCGTTTGGTTCGTTTTACAAGATTTCATTGACAATATCTTTAATGCAAAATTGGTATTTCCTCTCCACCCTGCTGATAAAACGTCTATATTAGAGTAAAGTCTTACAAAACATGTCGGAACGCAGCATAACCTATTTATTTCGAACGCCATCGCTAAGAAACATCAAAGCGGGTATAGCGCCATCTACCATCACAAATTGTGATTCATTTTGGTTTATAAATTATCATTGCGATATACAGATGGCAACCGTGTGCTACCGCCTAGAAAAACTCATACAAAGTAAACACTTCCATGCAACCAATTAACCTTTGACAAAAGTTGTGTTATGGGCAGGGAAACACCATTGTCAAGTGGTATATAGCAGCTACGTGGAATAAGCGTATCCTCTCAATCTTACACGTTACAGATCGGGAGCTCCACTTTTAGTCAGTGCCTAAATCTTAATATTATAAAAACGTTAAATGGCGATTATTTAGGTGTAACGCCATCACTCGCCCACATCTCAGACTTTCACATCTCAAACATTTATTTTCACATAAAAAATTACACATAGTTATCAAGAGTATATAATGGGAGTTCTCCCATATATACTCTTCGTTTCTATAATGTATGTCGATGGTTGTTGCTCAATTAAAACTGAATTCTTCTCACTCACTCATTTGTGTCTTTTTTTGTGGTGAGCTACAGTGTCATTGACACTTTCATTTCTTAATACCACCTATGTAATGTTTTTTCTTTTCAGGTCAACAACATCATAGAAAAAATCTCATCCACAGTTCCAGAATGGATGGCCAAAGCAATGGATGAACAGATGGTACAGTGAGGAGTTGTGAATAGTATTGTGGTGTCATCTTCTGATATGAATTGCATAGTGTGGAAAATCATGTGTACCAGAATGCTTCTAATGCAGAGAACAATTGTATGTGAATAATTTGAGCTGCATTCCTTCTGGTTTTTTGTCGTGTGAGTGTGTAATAAAAGAAATTATCTATATCTGGAATGTATTGTTCATTTCATAAGTGTTTCATGTGACATCACGATGGTTGATCATTGATGTAAGTTTGTAAAAAAAACTTTTTGGCAATACCCCTGAACCCTAATATTAATATCTTACTTTCAGTGGATTTTGCTGTCCACTCCTCTTGCTCTATAATTAGGTTTCTAGTCAAGTCAAGTTTTGCAGCTGTGCCTGTATTGTACATGATAACAGGTGTGAATAAGAACTAATAGTGTGTACCTCTGCTATATTATTTCTTTAGCACCTTTGCCCACTTCTGGTTTGGTGGTATTGACATATAAATATAGGTTTGTTATACACATGCTAAATTACGTAGTAGACTTGAAGATAGTCTGAACGAGTAGTGTAGTAGTAGTAGTAGTACTGTAAATCATTTAGTCTGAACGAGAAGCTATTGTTTGCCTATGGTACCACTCGCTATCAGAGTGAAGTTGTGTGTGGCAAAAGCGTAAGGAAAGCTTAGGTTACATATATATATAATATAAAGCACCCGCGAGGTGGCGCCGTTGGCGCGTTACAATAGATACTAATAAATTTACTTTACAACTGACAAAACTAGCGCCTCGACCAAGTTATGGCAAAATAACGCGGGTGACTTATGTTTGAGAACAATATATACATATATTCAGCAGTGAATAATAGAGATATATTGTTACAATATGGATAATATATTTGAACCTGTCCTCTGTCCCTATCATTACAACGCCCCTACCGACTATATAAGCTATCTAATCTCGCTCAGGAGATGAACTGCATTTGTAGTATGATAACTGTGTTGTGTTATTCTGAGCTATCTAAGTAACATTAGAAACATTTGGAATCGACATCTGCCCATATAGCTGTAAAACAAGACATTCCAGGAGCGTAACTAACCAATTTTGCCTGGAGGGAAAGCCCTGTACGTGGCGAGTTCTGAGAAGGCGGTTTTTACGTGCATGCAGTTCGACGCGACCTCGGCGCACGTCTAGTATTCACCATCGATAGCTTGGAGGTTAGCAGCTTTAGCTAAACACGCGTGGTAGCTTAGCATGTAGCTTCGTTGAGGCATCCTTGAGCGATAGTTGTTTGGAGTGTATTCAGTTTAAATGCTGTTAGCATATCAATAATATTTTCATGCAATAATTAAGACTGATGCAATACATTATTTGTTAATAAATCGTATTTTACAAACAGGCAAAGATGGTAATAATAGCAGGTGTGTGCGCGTATATGCGCGCGCGTATCTGTATGCGTGTGCGTGCGTGCGCCTGTGTGCGTACATATATATCAAAAGCCAATAATATATATACATATATATATATTATATATATAAACAAGAAAAGCAAAGTAGGCCTACTAGGTGAATTCATACTTCAGCCAGTTATTCGATCATTCAGTCTGTAGCTGTTATTCATCGGAGTTGGCTCTCTCTCTCTCTCTAATACACAGGCCGTAGGCTGAGCAAATTCCTAGTGGGGGGGGGGGCCAAAATTTCATGACTTTGGTGGAATGATGATGGACGGGCGCAGTTTCTTGATCGACGTCATAGTGTGGATAGGGGTGGGTCTGACACAAGGCTTTCACGGATAAGTGGCCCAAAGAATCACGTTAGCGTTATTTACGATTATTAGTTAAGCATATTTTTTTAATTTTGCTCCAAAATCTAGGGGACACCTGCACACACACACACACACACACACACACCACACACACCACACACACACACACACACACACAGCACACGCACATGCACACGCACACACACGACACACATACACACACACACACACACACACACACAACACCACACACACACACACACCTGACACACAACACACACACACACACGTGACACACCACACACACACACACAACACACACACACACCACACACACACACACACACACACACACACACACACACCCACACCACACACACTCACGCACGCACACACACACGCACGTAGCTTGCCCACTGACCGTATAGTGTATAATAACATTGTTATATTGTCTTATACATTGTATTTCTTTATATTGTGATTGTATAAACAGCTCAGTGAGCATGCCGCACTGATCTCTATATAATAATCACATATGTTATAATATATCTATGATTATATATATGATATGATATTATATTATATTATATATGATATGATATTATATGATATAATATATCTATATATATATAATCATAATATAAATATAACATAATAATATATTATAGAGATCAGTGGCATGCCGTCTGTAGCAAGCTTTGCAATGTACTGCTCTTCTCGCTAGGCGGCGCCACCATGCGTTACAAGCGTAGTGTCAAGCAAAGTGTCAAGTACAGTACAGTGTAATCGTTAGTCTGTGGTTCGATGTGTCTTTCCTTCTTGTTATATCATGGTTTACGTCGATGATACAGGTCTATTCTATATCTTGTTGATAGACAAGTAGGTTTCAATGCTTAGGGGCTACTATATCGAACCTGTATCTGTTGCACACGAGGAAATCATGCTAATAATTATTATCAGGAGATATGACATCTGCACTGTACAGTGTGTGCTGAAGAAGCGCAACTAATCGTGGGAAGTTTGGCATTCAACGCACAACGCTGTCTTCACTTCACCAACGCACAAGTGAACACAATAACAATGGAGAGTAAAACAGCAAACCTTATAAAGCCTACAGTATTCGTCACTGGTACTGTACCAAGAATTGGTGTTGAACTTCTTGAAGCAGGTAATAATAACTATAATCTTTCTAATCATTAGGATTGCTGATCACTAATTTAAATGACAATTTGCCGTGGCTTGAGTAACTCGGCAAGGTCTAATTACTCTTATAGTTATAGCTATCGCGCGCCCTAGATACGACAATGTAACCAACAAGAGTACTTGTTGTGTTACATTATTGTATCCAGGCCCTAGCTAGGATTTTTTTTTCTGTAGCCAAACAATTAGCCAGAATCAATTTTCATTAGCCAACTTGGATTCGTGTTAGCCACAACCAAAGATCGCTAGAGTGAACGGCACGAGAGCCTACGGCACTCTAGAATCTTTGGCACAACTGTAGCCTAGAATTTTATGAACACAAAAAGGCGATAAATAATTTTCTTTTTCTTTTTTTTTCCACACACTTTTATATGCATGAAGTACAAAACTACACTTATTTAATGCAAACAAACTATTATTCACCACCTGTCTATGACTGAGACACTAAAGGCCCGCTTATGTCGGCCTTACGACCTAGTCGCCGACAAGATTTGAATATCGTACGTCAAAAACCGGCCAGATCGCCGATAAAAACATCGGCGACCAAACTCGACATGAGTTCTCTTGCGATCGAAAATACGGTCGCCGACTGCGATCGCAGGAATAGAACATGTTCTATTCCTATGCGGCTGTCGGCGACAAATCGTGAGTGGCAGCCAATCACCGCAACGTGTCGAGTCACATGATTATCAAAAGTCACGTCATTAATAAATGGCAGCCTACACGCCACTCGCCAGCAGTTTACAAAGAGGGATTATTGCACAAACCCTTTCTCAAATATATATTAGTTTTCCGTAATCACATGAAAAAATTTCTGCACATTGATTATAACGATGTTCAGAAAATTGAGGATAGATTTACGAAGTTACATGATGTTACTGGTAAGCGCCATTTTGTTGTTTACGTACGTGACTCGTTTTATGTAGACTTGCGCGGCGTCAAACTTGCTCTGTTTGTGCTAAAGAACTGCTTGTGCTAGTACAAATACTGGGGCGCGGAACCCGTCTACGTTTCATGCAAGAACGCTACGATCTGATCGGCGATGTGCAGCGTAGTCACTTCAAGTCGCAGCATGAGTGTTGCTACGCTGCTAATCGGCGATAAAGTAGTCGCCGATAGATAAATCGTAGGCCGACATAAGCGGCCTTAACACTATGATTCACCACCATGGACTCGTGACTGATCAACTGACAAAGACATTCAAATTGTCTGAATTTTTTATTCACTGCTGCAGGAAAATTCTTTTTTGGCACACCACTGGACATAGCACTTTTCAAAGTCAAACATATCTTATTCTGGGCCGCTTATTCAGCTGGGGCTGGGGCTTATTCAGGTTATTTTCTCAGCTGTTTTAACCAATTTATGTCTGCTAAAACCCCTCTACTGTTGTGGATGGTAGGGTCACAAACAGTTGCTACTTTTTACAGTACCTGACGCACAATACCACGCCGCGCACCGCACGCGTGCGCGCGCAGTACATTATAGACAGTACTAACACACAGTATAGTTATTTACAGTATACTAATAGTTTACAGAAGAGTTTTCACAGCACATGCATATAGGGCCACTCTACTACTTTTGTAACTTCGGAGATGCTATTGAACCAGAAAAATTAGCTGCTCATCAAAGCTGTCTATATTCCCCAGTTAGTACTTAGTACAGTTTTACTACGTTTTACAGTACCTCACACAAAGTAGTACACACAAAACACACACCTACACGCACGCGGCGCGCACACACACACGTGCACGCACACGCGGTAGTAAAAATCCTTTGACTTTTGCCACGCGCCGTTGCCTGCGCGTGCCGTGTGTGGAGACAGGCCTTTTTTAAACCCCAGGGTTTCTTCTGAGGGAAAATTAGACACGGTGGTAATGCCAGTTTGGGGAAAAACGCACATGATGGATTCAAAGGCGTGCAGTAGCACGAATGTGGATTCTGCAGGCAGACGCAGGGGAGAGAGGTAGAGGGGTGCTGGGGGTCTCCGCCCAGCAAAATTTAAAACATTTAAATGTCTTAGGACTGCATTTGATGCACCCCGAAAATAAAATTTCACCCTTTAGTTTAAATCTTACTCTGTTAGCAGACCTACTAAGTCTCACGCTGCGCATTTCGCGGTCGACTCGCGCATCTGCGACCCATTCTCCTGCGCTCCTGCATTCTCACGCATAAGAAAAAAAAAAAAAAAAGCAGCCCCGCGACACCCCGTTACCCACGTCCGTGGCTGTGCTTGCTGGCTGGGCAGGCATTGATTGAAGTAGGGGGGGGGGGGCGAATGCACTGATTGTTACAGTCGCATGGGTGTGGTTATTGCTGTATATGTAGGGGTGGGCACCGCCCGCTGGTATGAGGGAGCGGACAGCAAAACTTTCCCGGAATCGAGGAAAAGCTGCAATCGGGAATGACACATGAGTGTGCCGGCACGCAAAAAGAAACGTTGCTGTTTCGCGATCAAATAGGATCGATGTTTGCTGGTCATGTTTATTACGGAAAATTACGTTCGTCACTTTTTCGCCAAATAAGACTTTCAATCGCCAGATTACTCATTTGTTCGCCATTGGCGAATTGGCGAGTGGGTAGCGAGGGCCCTGGTATCTAGCGCGGCCCAACGGCCGCTGAGAGGGTCTATGTCCCCCAGGGTACTGCCGGAACGTACCTGGTACTATCTAATATGCCGGACTGTACTCGCCTACTCCACTAACGAGTCTAGGGAGTCGCCTATGCCTACTCCCTAACTCTAACCCTATATAACTCTAACCCTAACCCTAACCCTAACCATATCAGATAGTTACCAGGGTACGTTCCGGTTATACGCGCGACGCTAC